GAAGATTATAGCATAGGTAACCCTGTGGGGTAGGACTGCCATATGATAGCACTTGACAGCACACAACACGAAAGAGATTTTTACTGATATTTTAAAAGTAGGAAATTTCTGTGTATACACAGTATAAAATAGAAAGTATAAAATAAACTTTTAATTTAAAATAGCTTGATTTATAAAAAGTCTGAAAGATTGAACAGAGTTTCCTTATATCCCTCCCTAGTTCTTCCTACTATTAACATCTTACATGACTACGGAACATGTGTTATAGCTAAGGAACCAACATTTGGTACATTACTATTGTTTAATACATTTTTTAAATAAATGATTACTCTCTATATACTCATAAGACAATCTTTTATTTTTTAAATAAAAATTCAATTGGAGTATTATACTTTTTCTATACTAAACTTACTAGTCTTTAAAATAAGCATTGTCTTTCTATACACCACAAACAATGTTATTCAGTATTTTACTGGAAATATACAATGCTGTAATAATATAGCTTGGTTGGAAGGCAATCTTGGTTGGCAGATAAGTAACTGAGTTATTTATGAAAGAGGTACACTTCTAAGAACACTTACGTGGCAATCAATGTTACTATAGTTTGAACTATAATAATTCTCCCAATCCAATGTTTATTCTTTATTAAGTTCAAATATTTTTATTTACAACAGCCCCTGACACTAAATTTTAACTCCAGAAAGAACAAAAAAATCAAGTTAGGCCACAGATTTACTGTTCCTTTAAATGTTTTCTAATAGTCTACCTGCTCTGGCCTTTCTAAAGATTAAAGATGAAACAATTCTCACTTACAATGTCACTTGTTAAAAGAGTAATTCACCTCCAATTAATTAATTAATTCCATTAATTCACATTTCATGTAATATACACATCTTTGTAAATCTGTATCCCTCTTTCAGGAGCTCTGGTGGCATAGTGCTTAAAGCATTTGACTGCTAACCAGAAGACTGGTGGTTCAAACCCATCAGCTATTCCTTGGAGGGAAGACCGGGCAATCTACTTCTCTACAGATATTGCCCTAGAAACCCAAAGAGGGGTTGCTATGAGTTGAGACCGACTCAACAAAAGTGAGGGTTTTTTTGAGTTTTATCCCTCTTTTATCCTGAAACTAAGCTTCCTTCTTTCATTTTCAACTTGTACCAAGCAATTAACCAGGGCAAAGCAGGAAAGGAAGTTTAAAATAAGAGTTCTCTTAAAAACAAAGCTATCCTACTAATGCCAGTTAATGCTTACTCTGAGTTTTCATAAAAGATCCAGAATAATTCTCTGGAACCAAGCTAGCCAAGAAGACAGATTTTAACTGTAAACCTAGCAAACATCCAAACCAACCCATTGCTGTAGATTCTGACTTACAGCAACCCTATAGGACAGAGTAGAACTACCCCATAATTTCCAAGGCTGCAGTCATTACAGAAGCAGACTGACACATCCTTCTCCTGCAAAATGGCTGGTGGGCTCACACCACTCATCTTTCAATGAGTAGTGCTTACCCACTGCATCACCAGGGCTCCTCAACCTAACAATCTCCCCCCAAAAGACATGAAACCCAAACCCACTACCACTGAATCAATTCCAACTCATAGCAACTCTATAGGACAGAGTAGGACTTCCCCATAGAGTTTTCAGGCTGTAAATCTTTAGACTGTCTCATCTATCTCCCATAGAGCGGCTGGTGGATTTGAACCACTGACTTTTTGGTTAGCAGCTGAGCACTTTAACCACTGTGCCATCAGGGCTTCTTAAGCTAGCAACAGGCCCCCACAATTCGTTTACCAGTCATCCCTCATGTTTCCCAATACTCTTTCTTTATATTATATTCATCTTCAAGGACAGAAACAGCTGGAAGCAAAAAAGGAATTGGGGTGTGGGAGGATTGTGACTCTACCATAATCTCCATCAGATCATGCCAAATAACAGTAATATTCTTTGATTTGGATGAACTGACATCTTCTCAACCTTATGGAATATATCAAAAAGCACCTTTAGAAAATGTTTTATTTATAGATTCACTAACATACCCAAAAAAACTTACAACAATAATATATTTGCTAAGTAAAAGAAGCTTTAAGCTGCCCTTTCAATGGATAGCTACCTTCCACCCCTTTAACACTTCCTCTATAGAAATTCTGAAGAAACGATTTGCTGGGACAAATCATACTATGAGCACAGGAAAAAATTTAAAAACAAAACAAAACTATATCTACAAAGCTACTTGTGGTTTAGATGGCTTAGTTCTAGTCAAACTCTGGGATGAAGGACTACAGCCAAGCCTAAACTCCCATCCCAAATGCAGAATAGGAAAAAGGTATAAGTCCCTTGGATTTCCTATAGGCTAGACCAGGTTCCGCAGGGCTGGGGCTGACTACTGTCAACTGCCACCCACGCTGCCCAACTAATCCGTGATTTGTGCAACCTGGGCTAGCTCCAGAAATACAGTGACTTATAACTGAAGATAAGCAACAGGAAGGGCCACTCTCCAGAATGAATTACCATTCATTCATTCAAAGCGGTGCTTGGTAAGACTATGAATGATTGCCAGAGCCAGAGATTTTGTGCTAGTCTATAGGAAGGTCTCAAATACTCATCTTACACATGCTCTATAACATGATTTTAAGATTTAGGAAATTATTTTCTGTGAAATTAGTGATTGGTCACTAATTGTTTATTAAATGCAATGAATCATCTGGGTACCTGAGGCCATTTCCAATAGTCCCTAATAACTGCTCCCTCTCTCTCCTACCATCTCCTAGTCCCACTGTGTCTAAAAGGAAAAGAAGGTAGGTAGGAAGAGAGGCAAGGAAAGAGGGAGAGGGGAAGGAAGGAAAGGAAAAAGAGAAAAAGGAAGAAGAACAAAGGAAAGAAAGAAGGAGAGAGAAAGGGAGATGAAGGGAGGGAATGGAGGAAAAGAGACAGAGGGAGGGAAAGGGAAAAAGAAAAAAAAACAGAGAGAGAGAAAAGCTGGAGGCCATGTGGCCCGCAGATTAAACAGTCATCACCCAGAATCACATGCTAAGAAGCATGAATGCTTTAAAAGCTCTCTCTCTGCCCTCCAGCAGACTATTAGAAGCACATAAATAATTGAAAACCAACCAAAGTTTACAAACAGATCTTCATTACTTAAGGCTATATTAAACAAAAGGACTTACAATGTGCACTTTGAACATAAAAGTACACAGGACGGTAAAATGTTGTGCATCCTTTCAGGGGAGTTTAACCTCGGTTTCCTCAATTTCTTTGTGCCTGTGCTCCAACAAGTACAAGATATTTTGCCAAATGCCCCTCAAGCACATGTCTGGTTTGGTAAAATCCTCACACCTGCCTTAAGTAATGTATTTTGGCCAAAGTACTTTGCACAAGGATTTCTCTTCAGTGCTGTTTACCTTCAGAAACAAAGCAGATGAGAAAAGCAGAAGGCAGTGAGCTGTGCACTCTGACGTAAGCCATGTATCTATTCATCTTGGCAGTGTTTGTTTAAATCTCATTCAGGAAGATCTGAGACAGTAGCACAAACGTTTTAAGCTTATTTATGTTATTTTTCAAATCTCACCTTTCATGACATCATGAAATCCATGCAGGGCGGCACCAACGCTGGTTAGAACACAACTGTAGTTTGTCCGAAGGAGTCCATCAGGCTCTGTACCTAGAAAACCAAAACCACAAACCTAAACATTTTCCCAAGAAATGTCATCTGAAAAATTGACAGCCATCATCTCTTTCTATTTTGAGGAAAAGAGAATGAAAATTGCTTGTGATATGCTGAAAATGATGGCTCTTAAGATATTTACAGTGATAAACATACACACAGCTAACTTTGATTTGTATCCCCCGTGTATCTTTAATGGTTAAACCAAACCAAACTCACTGCCATCATGTCAATTCGACTCATAGTGAGCCCTCCTTGGGTTTCTGAGGCAGTATCTCTACAGAAGTACATTGCCCAATCTTCCTTCTGAGGAGTGGCTGGTGGGTTTGAACCTCCAGCCTTCTCATTAGCAGTCAAATGCCTTATGTACTAGGCTACAGGAGCTCCCTTTTAATAGTTAGTGTGGTGGTTATGTTTGTGTATCAACTTGGCTGGGCCTGGTTGAGTGGCTGGGCAGCTGAATGGAGTTATTTCCCATGGTGAGACTGGTAATTAACTCCATGATGGAATCTACTGGAGCAGCTCAGTAGCTGCTTTGGGTATGTGGTCTGCTTCCCATATATAAGAAACAGCTTTGGGAATGGTCTCTAGCTTATGACACGCTTGAACCCTGCATGTAGCCATGTCGTTGTTCAGCAGCCTGCCATGCTCTGCTGACCTTGGGACTTTCAATGGACTTAAATGAATGGTCTGCTGTGTGGTTTGGTAATATCAGGACTGTGCCATTTTATTTGTCGACCTTGGGCTTGTTAGTCTCAGCAGTCAGTACACGCCTGAGTGAAGAGATGCCTCTAGCTTCTGTGGGACGGTAGCAAGAGGCAGAGATGAAGCCCAAGGTCAAGGGGCTTTCACACAGCCCCTAGAGGCTGGCACTCTGAACTCGGACTTAAAGCCTCCGAACTGTAAGAGAATAAACTCCTGTTTGTTAAGGCCATCCCATTTGTGGTATATGCCTGTCAGAGTGGCACTAGGTAACTAGAACAGTTAGGAATGGTTAAAATTAAATTGCTAAGCAGCAGTGTATCTTTCATTACCCTTTTTGAAGTGAAAATCTTGAAAATTTTCACTTTGTTAATATATAACATATTTTCATTTTATTCTTTTTTTCCATATTAATATTTGCTGAACAGCTCTAAAAACACTATTATAAAAAGTTCAGAGTTCCACTTCTGCCACAACAGCTTCAGGAGATCCACTCCCAGTAAAACTAGTAAAAAGTATTAGAAAAAAAAAAAAGCTTAAAGTCTCTAGGAATAGTCCAAAGGGCATAGAGCATATGAAAAAATTTATTCAAGAAAAACTATTAAAACTAGGTAAGAAAAGTTAAAGAGTCTGTGGTATCTGAACCTAGACCCTCTCCCTCTCTTCCCAATCTAGCTAAGTGAGATGGAAACTCTACTCCAGACTGGTGCAGCCAAGAACACAGGGCAAGTGTGTCCAAGAGGTGAGGCTTCCTTCTTTTGTGCAGCCTCCATTTGTGGGACTGAGGCTCTACTTTGGGCAGAGTGCCACCAAGAATACTGGAGTCCCAACCACCCTTGTCCTGGCTCATGACATGAAGGTTCCATACCAGAAGAAGCAAACCATGAAAACCTGAGGCTATTAACCTTGCCTCTACTGAGTGCCCAGGTTCTAAAGCAAGCATGTCACTCAGAGAGAAGCACCACATTATCACCACTCCAGCTCCACAGCTATGGCTAAGACATTTTCCTCAGGGGGAGAAGCAGGCCTTAAAACAAAGAACTGTGCTCAGTTTAAAAAAAAAAAAAAAAGAAGAAGAAACTCAGCAAGCTTTCTGTGTTCAGAGTTTGCACATTCCAAAGAAAGGACTAGCTCTTGACCACTCCTGGGAGATAACCTCTGAGCCTTTGGAATATAATACCTGATAACAGTATCTTTGTATACCTGGGGCAATGGGCCACTCCAGATAATTTCTGCTAACAATGTGATTTATTGTGGGGGTCTTGGGCTATGTTTTATTTACCTTTTGGAGGGACTACAGACTAAATAACAAAGGACACTCAGGAAGGTATGCCATACCTATGTGACTGATCTCCAATAAAAACAACTGGACACCATTACTCAGGTGTGCTTTCCTGGCTTGCAACACTCTGCACATGTTGTCACACATTGTTGCTGGAAGAATTAAAGCACTGTCTGTGTGATTTCACTAGGAGAGGACAACTGGAAGCTTATGTCTGGTCTTCCCTGGACTATGTCCTATGTATCTTTTTCCTTTGCTAATTTTCACCTGCATCCTTTCATTGTAATAAACTGTAATTGTGAGGGTAACAGCTCTTCTGAATTCTTTGAGTTCCTCTAGCAAATCATTAAATTTGAGGATGGTCTTGGAGACCTCAACATAAAGTGACTTCGTTAGCAACAGAGTATGGAGATGTTTAAGTATAAATGTGCTCTCTAAAACAAAGGTGGTTTTGATGAAAAGCAATTAAGAGGATATTGTTAGATTCATTAGAAATATAAGCTAAACTCCAGCCAGTTAGTTTACCAGGTAGAACCAGGGTAAAGAAGCCCCCTTGGGATCAGAATAAATTTCAAACACTGAGCTCAAAACTTACACCTTCAAAAAAGCTCCACTTTCTTTGGATCAGTCTGTGGAGCTACTTATGACCCTGAGCATTACTTAAATGAATGCAAGAAGCAAGCAATTAATAAAGCTTAACAGCTGGGTGTGGTTACAAAAAGAGATATTCAAAGGGCTCACTGTCATCTCAGGGTGACTGTTGGCACACCCAAGGCTGCACTCCTGTGGAACAATATCAGAGTCTGCATACAGCAGAGGTCAGGGAGAGGGAGAAAAAGACTTCATGAAAACACAGCCAGTCATTAAACAAATAAATAAGTAAATAACCATAACAAGCCACAGATCAGGGATACCAATACTCAAAATCGTAATAAGTTGTACAGTTTCTAACAAAAAAAAAAATTATGAGACATGCAAAGAAATAGGAAAGTCTGACCCACACACCAGAAAAAGAAAACAGGCAACAGAAACTACTGTGAAACCTGATGTTGGATTTAACAGATTTTAATGTAGCTATCATGGGAGCTCTGGTAGCACAGTGGCTAAGACACTTGCCTGCTAACCAGACAGCTGGCGGTTCAAACCCACCAGCCACTCCTCGGAAGGAAGGTTGGGCAATCCTACTTCCGTAGTGATACTGCCTCGGAAACCCAAGGAGGGGTCGCTATGAGTCGGGGCCGACTCGACGGCACACAACAACAACAACAATTATAAATATGTTTAAAAAGCTAAATGAAAACATGATTAAAGAAGGAATGGCAATGTCTCAAATAGAGAATCTCAATAAAACGATATAAATTCTATTCTTAAAGAACAGAATGGAAATTCTGGCACTGAAAAGTTAGAATACTAAGTGAAATGAAACATTCACTAGAGGGATTCATCAGTAGATTTGAATCAGCAGAAGAAAGAGCTAGCACACTTGAAAACAGATCTATGGAGATTATGCAATCTGAGGAACAGAGAGAAAAAAGAATAAAGAAAAATGAATGGAATCTCAAGAAAAGTAGGTTATTAATAAATGCAGCAAAATTTGCGTAACAGGAATCCAAGAGGCAGAGGAGAGAAAAGAGCAGAGAAAATATTAGAAAAAATAATGGCTGAAAACTTCCCAAATTTATTGAAAAATATAAATCTACACATCCAGGTAGCTCAATGAACTCCAAGTAGGATAAACACAAAGAGATCCATAAACACACATCATAGCTGAAAGTCAAAGACAAGAAGAAAAGCTACAAGAGAAAAATGATGTGACACTTATAAGGGAACCCCAATAAGATCAATAACTATCCTCTCAACAGAAACAATGCAGAAGGGCAGGGGAAGGCCATGAGATAAAATATTCAAAGTGCTCATTAAGAAAAAGAGAAAATCAACCAAGATTCCTATCGTCAGCAAAGTCATCCTTCAAAAATGAAGGCAAAAAAAAGACATTCCCAGATAAACAAAAGGGAGTTTTTAAGGCTGAACGTGAGTGACCCAGGTACTTCAAATCCACATTAAAAACAAAAAGAAAATAAAATCAAAGAGCACTAGTAAAGGTAATTATGTAAGCATAAAGGACAGTATAAATGCACATTTCCTTTCTTCTCTTAATTGACTTAAGAAACAACTGTGCAAAATAATAGGTAAATAATGTATAGTCGGGGCTGTAACATATAGAAAGTAGTATTTTCACCAATAATGGCACAAAGGGGGAGGACGGGGCAATGCTATAATGAACTCCAGGTGGTAACTTGAACCTATAGAAATAAATGGAGAGAAATGATAAATAAGAAGGTTAATATAACATAAGGAGCTCTGGTAGCATAGTGCCTAAGGCACTTCATTGCTAACCAGAAGGCTGGTGATTCAAACCCACCAGCCACTTCTTGAAAGGAAGGTTGGGCAATCTACCTCCGTAGTGCTATCACCTTGGAAACCCAAGGATGGGTTGCTATGAGTCGGATTCAACTCAACAGCAGTAAGTTTAAGTATAACAGAAGCTATAAATATGTACTAGCTTTCTTTTCTCCTCTCAACTTTTTTAAAGACATAAAATTACATAAAGTAATAATGTATTGTTGGGTTTGAAACATTTATACATGCAATATATACCACAAAAAGGGGAAAATGGAGTAAAGCTGTATAGGAGTAATGTTTCTTTATCTTAGTAGATTTAAATTAGCATAAATCTAAGCTGATGCTGATAAATTAAGGTGCATATTAAATCCCGACAGCAACCACTATGGGAATAATTTAAAATACATGTATATACATGTTGCTGTTAGGTGCCGTTGGGTCAGCTCTGACTCACAGTGACCCTACATACAACAGAATGGAGCACTGTCCAGTCCTGTGCCAGCCTCACTATCACTGCTATGCTTGAGCCCCTTGTTTGGAGATACAATTTTAGAAATCAAAATATTACATCAAAAAATATTTACTTAATGAAAAAGAATTCAGTAATGGA